GCAACATTGTTGCGATCAGTGACATAACAAAATAGAACTGGTAACACTGTCCTTGTGTTATTGTGGTGTCTGTGAGTAAAATACTCCCAGAAGACACCCCTCGTTTATTAGACCTTCACCTTTAAAAGACAACTGGACAGACCTCACTGCCTAAGTTTCATAGAAAAAAGTTATTTTTCGTCTTCCAGAGGAGACTAGGGAGGAAAGGAGAAGCAGCCTTCCATGAGGCTTTTGGTCGTGTTTTGGAATAGTGATCATTAGTGAACAATGGCACACCAGTCCTAGGCCTAACTGCAAACAAAGACATCAGTGACCGTTTAATAAAATACCTTTGCATGAAGAGCAACCTCAAACCAGTAGTTTGTCCTAACAAGGACAACATTCATTTCACGGTACTGAAAGCAGACAAGAGTATGCCTTGTTTTGACTAGCTTGTGGAACTTTTGAAAGAAAAGAAAGGAGTACACCATTCACAATGACTTCGGCTTCTCCCATACAAAGTCACTCCTTCAAAATAAAATTTCAAGGAAAATGTCCGTACCTATTTTAGGTATACCAGAGGCGAATTTATGGTGATATGGATGGGTGCTTAATATGGGGAAACAAGAGATGTTTGGCACTTTGAGCAGTATCTGCCATCGTCTTGAAAACAAAATGCTTTTAGAACTGAGGAATTTTTAGTCAAGTGANACTGCAATCTTCAAATAAGCAACATTGTTGCGATCAGTGACATAACAAAATAGAACTGGTAACACTGTCCTTGTGTTATTGTGGTGTCTGTGAGTAAAATACTCCCAGAAGACACCCCTCGTTTATTAGACCTTCACCTTTAAAAGACAACTGGACAGACCTCACTGCCTAAGTTTCATAGAAAAAAGTTATTTTTCGTCTTCCAGAGGAGACTAGGGAGGAAAGGAGAAGCAGCCTTCCATGAGGCTTTTGGTCGTGTTTTGGAATAGTGATCATTAGTGAACAATGGCACACCAGTCCTAGGCCTAACTGCAAACAAAGACATCAGTGACCGTTTAATAAAATACCTTTGCATGAAGAGCAACCTCAAACCAGTAGTTTGTCCTAACAAGGACAACATTCATTTCACGGTACTGAAAGCAGACAAGAGTATGCCTTGTTTTGACTAGCTTGTGGAACTTTTGAAAGAAAAGAAAGGAGTACACCATTCACAATGACTTCGGCTTCTCCCATACAAAGTCACTCCTTCAAAATAAAATTTCAAGGAAAATGTCCGTACCTATTTTAGGTATACCAGAGGCGAATTTATGGTGATATGGATGGGTGCTTAATATGGGGAAACAAGAGATGTTTGGCACTTTGAGCAGTATCTGCCATCGTCTTGAAAACAAAATGCTTTTAGAACTGAGGAATTTTTAGTCAAGTGATAGAACACAAAACACATACTACTAGCATACTACTAGCACCGACTGTCATGGCGGCTGGACCGACCTGGGCCAGCTCGCTACAATTTCTAGTACTCCTGCTTGGAACAGCAGTTTTAATCCAAGAGAGTATAAGTGGCGACGTTTTAGGATCTTACCAGGCTACAAGCGTCTCAAAGGCGTTTATTACACCTGAATTCGTCTCATATTTGACAAACCACAGAAGATTTAAATCTCGTGCTAAACAATTTACTTCACGGAGGGTCCCACACACAGTCAAAGGAATAAGCAGCTTCAATCTGGAAAGGGATGTGCTTCTGTGCGGGGATGTGGCCATAAATCCTGGCCCGAAAGGGAAGAAGTTGATGTTGAAATACCCATGCAGTGAATGCCACAAAGCAGTTAGAAACAACCAAAACGCCATCTTGTGTGCCACATGTGGAAACTGGTCACACGCTAAATGCCTCAATATGTCTCGGACTATTTTCCAGTACTACTTAGACCAGCCTGATATTGATTGGACTTGTCCAGCCTGTGCTCTACCGCCACTGACGGACTCCTTCTTTGAAGAAGTTTCTGAAGGAGATACACTAATTCCAGCCGAGGAGTATCAAGGGGAAACAACTCAAAATACGGCCTTCGAGCAGTTTCTTTACAGAGATGTCACAGAAATTACTTCTGAAAATGATCAGCTAGAACTCTTTAGGAAACATCACAATAAGGATTTCTTAATCGCCCACTTGAACATTAACAGCATCCAAAATAAATTTGAAGAACTGACCAAAGTAATCAAGAAAATCAACGCCCACATAATGTTCGTAAGTGAGACCAAGATCGACGCGAGCTATCCCAACGCTCAGTTCAAAGTTCTGAACTACTCCCTCTACTCAAATGATAGGAAAAAGGGCGGTGGTGGAATTATGGCTTTAATATCTCAATCGCTAGTCAGGACACAGCTCAAACCTGATAAATCCTTTACAACACTGGAAATAATTGCCTTCGAAATCAAAACAGATATGGACAATATGGTAATTGTTGGTATTTTTCGTCCCCCGAGAGCTCTGTGTGGCGAATATCAAACACTGCTGGAAAGCGAACTCAGTTAG